CCAGATGCCCCTCTTAATCTTCTGTGATTCTGGAAGTCACCAGACCTGAATGCATGAGACCCTGAGGTTCAGGGTCAGCTCAGCCTGCTCAGCCTGGTGTTTCATCAACATCCTCAATAATGTTAAATGCTCACAGGCTCCAAAATGGCAAGTGCCCTTCTATCAGGCAAATGATGGACACGCTTGAGAAATGATCTCAATAATCAGGTAAAAATATCTGTCCTCATTCAACGGAAAGCCATTTGATCTGTATCCAGTTTAGCCTTCTAAAAGAAGCCCCTAATTCCACTTACAAGCATTAGTTGAGGAAAATACATTGGTCTCTTGCTCTGTGAGCTTCACCCCGGATATAGTACAGAAGTAAGGAGACATTTTAATGGAAATATACTTAATTTCCTGAATAGATTCATGGAGGGTCAAGGGATGAGTATACTGGATCACTTTTCAAGCCAGCTAGCTGGAGGTGAGATTTTATTGGCTAAAAAAGATGTACATTTAAAAAATGCATGATCTTTTCTTTTCTTCTTTTTTGCTCTATAGTAACTCACTGGAACATTCACCACCATGAAAAGATGGATTCTGATAAAGACGAGCTCACAAATGACTAATGGTAGCCTGACATCTCATTCCATAAATCAAAGAGATCTTGTCAAAGAACCCCACGCCAAAACTCCAATTACTGTAACATGTTTCAGGAAGCATTAGACCTGAATATCCAAAGACAGGACGTGAATCAGAGGCGGATAAACCCAACCAGAACCTTATTATAACTAAGAGAGATCAGAAGCACAAGCAAATACAGACACATCACAGGGCAGAGAGCTGCAGCTCAGAAAAGAAACCTTTGTCAAAAATTGAGAAGGCAAAAGGACGGTCTCTTGGCTCCCATCAAATACAATGGTTGAAAGTATAACTTAGGCCAACTCTAAAGTTAGATGAAAACATTAGACAAATTAATTATACATAACTGACATTGAAAGAAAATATTCATGTCTTTCAATCATAAAGCATATCAACCATAATAAAACATGTAAAAAGCAGATAAAAGGAAACAAGGTTAATATCAATCTAAGAAAGTATTTAACTTGCGAAGCAAGCATGGTAGCAGGGATGTAGTTGAAGGAACAGAACTCACCTCAAACTCAGAAGTGAGATGCATCATCTCTGATTCAGCCAAGAAGAAACCTTACGGTTCTGTTGAAGAATGGTCTCTTGAAAAGAAAGGCGGCACCAGGGTAGAGACCCAAAAGGTGAGCGATGTGTTATACGTAGTAAGTCAGTCTCTGCAGTACTCGCGAATAAGGTAGGTACGCTGAATTTGAATGGTGGAAGTGGCAATGGGGTGAAACCGACCATTGAGGGGCTTTCCCTAGACACTGGTATGTTCTGTTATTTCTCTTTTTATTTACCCACAAAAGGAGAAACAGATCAGGACCTTGAGTGGTCAGAATGGTGGCAAGGAATCCTGAATTATCTTGTGAGATTAGCAGGAGGGAAGGCTTAGTCATCAAAGGAGTTCTGGATGATCCCAGGAGTTTTCATATTCATCAAACGCATACGGACTACAGACGCCCAAAGGATGAAAAACAGGAACCATCTGCCATTTGAATGCAAACCTGGTGATGGGTACAAAATCCACCTGAATACACCAAACAGGGCTAGCAGGTAAGTAAGACAGATGTGTCCCATGGTAGCCTGAAAGAGAAGCACAGCTCAACCAAACACTGAGCACAGTTGAAGGGAGCCGAGAAAGATGCTGGGCTGTCTACGGTTGATGAAATATTGCACATAGTCTTCATGATGTGGAGTATTATTTACCCTTGAAGGTTTCAACAATTGCACCTGCATAGCGAAAGGATGTGTGGATTGAGAAGCATACTTTGACCTTGATGGACTCTGGCTATGAGCAGCTGCCACAGAACTGCTATTTACCTGCCATGAAAAAAGTAGCCATCCATAGGGCTTGACTTGCATGGCTCCCTTTAAATCTGGAAAGTAATTATCCATATCACCCTAACCTTGACTTTACTGTGCTTTACTGTTTTCTACTGTATCTTGCATCTACAGATGATGAGAGAAAAACCTATCCTAAGGGGAAAAGAACTGCTAAATGAGAAAATGCAAGCTCCACGTGTGTTGGTTCTGCCCCTATGTGCTGAGCCCCAGTCAGGGGGAAATGTGGAAAACGTGCCACACAGACTAGAGCCCTGCAGTGGAAACAATACAGGGCTGGGACCATCAGGGACCATTCAGATAAGTGGTTCTCAGAGAGGAAGGTCCTGTCCCCTAGGGTAAGTTTTGGAAACTCTAGGGGTGTATTTGATAAGCATGCTGGTTATCCTGGAATGTGAAGGATGGTCATGCAAAATGAAGCATTGTTCCCATCCCACACCACTTTCCAAAGTTGCTCTGGGCATCTGCATGGGTGAAATCTGCTGGATCATCTGAGCACAGAATGCACCTCCCATTCATATGTGCACAAAACCTTTTCTACATAGGTTTAGTATATATTGCATATTCGCTACTATGGAAATCCAGGGAAGCTGATTCTCTTTCTGTTCGTTTTACTTGGAACTTTCCTAAGATTATTTTCCATTTTGGAAAATCATATCAGCAACTGATAGAGTTTGGATATCTGTCCCCTCCAATTCTCATGTTGAAATTTGATCCCCAGTATAGGAAGTGGGGCCTGGTGGAAAGTGTTTAGGTGCTGAGGTCAGATCTCTCAAGAATGGCTTTGTGCCTTGCCCATAATAATGACTGAGGTCTCACTCTGTTAGTTCCAGGGAGGGCTGATTGATTGTTAAAAAAAAAGCCTGGCACGTCCTTCCCCTACCCTTGCTTCCTCTCTCCCATGTGATCTCTGCACACTGGCTCTGCTTCGCTTTCCACCATGACTAGAAGCAGCATGAGATCCTGACGCCATGCTTCCTGTACAGCCTGCAGAACCATGAGGCAAATAAACCTTTGTTCTTTGTAAATTACCCAGCCTCGGGTATTCTTTTATAGTAGCGCAACAGACTAAGACAGCAAACTGAGCAGCTTGGGGTGGGTGAGTCTAAGTCAGCCTGCCTTGATCAGTCTACACTGGGTGTACATGTCCACAGTGATGTTAACTCACCTCCAGCATCCACCTATTGCATGATCTCCTAGCACCACGGAGCCAGGGTGTTCATGCATTGAGGTTCTGATTACCTGGTTATACATTACTTCCCTTGTATTCCCCCCACATTACGTCAGGGCACTTTGAGCTGTGTGTGTAGATAAGTCATATGACTTTTGCAGTCACTTCAGGGAATGACAAAGCACTTGTTATAAAAAGCGGGTGTTGGCTGAAGGTTTGGGGACTGCTGGTCTCAATGATTGAATTTGGGCAAGTCCCCTGTCTCCCCGACCTCCTGTGCTGCAGAAATCAAAATGAGAGGTTTGGACCAACTCCAAGTCCTGTTCCATGATGAAGTAGTCCAGAATGAACAGTTGGAGGTGAGGGCTGTTTGGGGACTGAGGACTTGGATGAATCACAGATCTGAGTGGGAAGGGGCAGCACAAGCCATCGTAAACCAAGCCTCTGCTGCACACACGGAGAGAAACACCACCACTACTTCTACACACGTTTGTGGTTATAGCAACAGCTGGGCACATACTGATCACAGGCAGGTGTTATATCCGGGAATATCAATGAAGGAAGCTTACCAACACATGAAGCCATAAACCAAGCTATCAGTTCCTTGAGGGAGGGGCCAGCCACATTTTTCTGAAGCCTCACAGAGCACTGGCCACCATAGCCCTCTCCCCAGCATGCAGCTGTAGCCATACGGGTAGGAGGCCCCGTCATTTATGGCACCAAAGTGGAGCCCAGGATGTGGCGTAGGTAGAATAGATATACAGGGTTTCCTCTATGCTTTCTTTCATACACGGCAAATCATCTCGCTTTATTAAATTGCCTGGCATTTTCAGAAGACTTCAGCTATTCTTCCCCCTCCTTTTGTCCCCAACTAGAGCTGGCCTTTATTCCCTGGAACAAAGCACTAAGGATAAGGAAAGTGAGAAAGGGAAGTCAGGAAAAGAATTTACAGTAGGGAAACCCAATATGACAGTTACCGAGACCCTCGATGATTCATGACCCTAAAAAACGAACCAGCACGTCAGCTTACCTGTTCTGTCTGTTGAGTTTAAATTTCAGGATCATAAAAATAGTTGTGACATCAAAACATGCACAGCATTTGAGCAGCTTCCAGTTCAGAGGGCGGTGACTCTAGACCCCATGGGCTCCTGCAGAGCTGAAGGCTGCCACAGGCCACTGGGGGCCTCCCCAAACCCCACCCAGGGCTGCTCTGAAGCCTGCATGGACAGAACTTGTTCTATTCCAGAGACCTCCATCTGGCTCCACTTTTTTTTCTCAACTCCACCCCATAATTGTTCATGTGCAGCCTCAGTCTTGGCCCTTAATACTTTGTGCTCACAAAACTCACTCTTCCAAATGAGTGTTGCAAACCAACCCACAGAAACGGCTTCCAGGAACCACACCTTAACCCCTACTGAACTATGTGAAGGGGGGTTTCCGTGTATCCCTTCAGCCGAGGAAGCGACCCCACACCCTTGGCCAGAGTGGCCTCACAGACCCCCAAGACCTGTCCCCTGCTCCAGCCCACCTCCACTGCAGAACTAAAGCTGCTGCAATAACCACCAAAGGGCCACAAGCTCCCTGTGACTTGGATAACTACAGGAGTTGTGTTTGACTTGGATTTTTAGAAAACGAATCTCACGTAAATGCGTGAAGGCTATCAGGAGACCCCTGCTGTGAATTTGAGGATGGAATGAACATGCACATATGCATACACATGTCCACATGTATGTACACGCACATGTACATACACATCCGTATCAGTATCCCCCTTAAAATGAAACAGCTTTCTGGCTGTTATGCTCCGCTGCATTTTGAAGCATGTGGATCATGCAGTACCCCAGCCCAGCACACCAGCCAAGGGGCCAGCGCTTACCTCTCTGTGTCAAAGTACGTGTCTATGTAGGAGTGCGGGGCTCCCGCCACGGCAAAGTTACTGCTTCCAGTGTCAACGAGAATCTGTAGCTTTTATGTTTCAAGGAGAGAAAGAAAAAAAGAAAGCATCAAGTTATTTTAATAAGGCAATACTCTTGAATAATTTTTTTAAAACTAAGTACCAAGAATAATTCATCAGTTGGAACAAAAAAAAGTATACTGATGAGGGGAATACAAAAAGCTATTATAAAATTGAAATCTGAACAAAGTCCATGAAGAAGCTTGCACTGGAGAGGGGAAAATGGTCTTGTCTCAGATACACACTGAGCCTTCAAAGAGAATGGATTCTGTTAAATAACTGGGTTTCCTTTTTAGGCCGTTGGTGCTTGAAACCAAGGCTGAGCTCTTTCTTATCTCCGGGCTTTTGGCCAGGTTTAGCCCTCCACTGGGCTCACCCTCCCCTTGCTATTCCAAATCTCGCCTGGAAACCCCGATCCAACATGGCCTCCCCTCCCCAGGATGCCTCCCAGCCTCCTCATGGCAGGTGGTGGCCCCTCACCTCCCTGCACGGAACCTGGGAACACCTGTCACAAGCATCATTTTTTAGGTTATTTGAGATATAGTTTGTGTATAATAAAAATGCAAGATCTTAAATGTTTGCCTGGTGAGTTCTGGCATGTGTCCCAAACCAAGATGCAGAAATTTCTATTCACCTCAAAAGGTCCCTTTATGCCCCTTTCCCTTCTGGTCCCCAGAAGCAACCACTTTCTGGCTTTTGTGACCGTGCACTGGTTTCATCAGTTCTTGAACATTCTATAAATGTCATGACGCGGGTTTCTGTGTGTTTGTTTTTTAGCATGGTTTCTTAAGTGCAGCTTGTCTCTGAGACATCCTCATGTTGCATCAGCCCTTTGTTTCTCTTCACTGTGCAGGGACACACGATAATTTGCCTCTGCTTTTGATGCGCCCTTGAGTTGTGTCCAGTTTGAGGCTACTATGAATAAGACAGCTATGGACACACTGTATAGGTCTTTTTGCAGACATATATTTTCATTTCTCTTGGGTAAATACCTAGGAGTGAAACTTTTTGGATCATAGACTAGATACTTTTTTTTTTTTTTTTTTTTGAGACAGAGTCTCACTCTGTCGCCCAGGCTGGAGTACAGTAGCACCATCTCGGCTCACTGCAAGCTCTGCCTCCCAGGTTCACGCCATTCTCCTGCCTCAGTCTCCTGAGTAGCTGGGACTACAGGCGCCCGCCACCACGCCCGGCTAGTTTTTTGTATTTTTAGTAGAGACAGAGTTTCACCGTGTTAGCCAAGATGGTCTCGATCTCCTGACCTCGTGATCTGCCTGCCTCGACCTCCCAAAGTGCAGGGATTACAGGCATGAGCCACCGCGCCCGGCTGACTAGACACATTTTTAACGTTTTAAAGAAAACTGCTGAACAGGTCTGCAATGTGGGTCTACCAGGTTATATTCCCATGAGCGATGGATCCATGGGCCATTTGGTGTATTTACTCTGTATCCGCCCCCAAATTTGGTGGTGTTGGTCTTTTCAATGTGAACCATACTAATGGGTGTGGAATGGTACCTCACCGTGGTTTTAATCTGCAGTCCCCTGGGGACCAATGCTATTGGGCTGTTGCCCTGTATCCCGTTGCCTCACTCATCTTCCCCAGTGAACCATGTCTCAGGGCAGGTGTGTATGTTACTCATCATTTTATGCCCAGCATCTATCCCAAGTCCAGATACATGCCCAATTGTTACAGAATGAACACACCTTTTAGAAATAAACACAGGCCACATAGATATAGCCCAAAAGGTTGAAAAACAAGTTTAAAAAGCTATGGACTAAAGAAATCAAAATAGGCCAGGTGCGGTGGCTCGCCTGTAATCTCAGCACTATGGGAGGCCGAGGCGGGCGGATCACGAGGTCAGGAGACCGAGACCATCCTGGCTAAATAGTGAAACCCCATCTCTATTCAAAATACAAAAAATTAGCCAAACGTGGTGGCACATGCCTGTAGTCCCAGCTACTCGGGAGGCTGAGGCAGGAGAATTGCTTGAACCCAGGAGGCGGAGCTTGCAGTGAGCCTAGATCGCACCACCTCATTCCAGCCTGGGTGACAGAATGATACTCTATCTCAAAAAAAAGAAAAGAAAAGAAAAGAAAAGGCAAAATAGGCAAGTTTTTGCCTAGGATTATCTTAGCAACAATTATAGAATAATTTTGCCAAGGACCTCAGTTTAGCTGGGTCCAGCGTTTGCCTCTGAGATGACCTGTCGGCAGGATCTGATTCAGTCTCGCTCCCTCTTCCCGGAAACATTCTTCACTCTGGATCCTGGGCCCCACACTTTTCTGACTTCCTCCTTCCCTGACTCCTCACATTAGTTTCACTGTTGGGTGCTTCTCATCTCCCCGACCTGCTGAACTTTCCCAGGGCTCAGCTCAGGAATCACTTCTGGGATCCATCCACTCACACCCTTGGTGTTCCCACTGAGTCTCGAGGCTTCAAATGCCATCCGCGTGTCGACGATCCCCAGGCTTACATCTCAGCCCAGGCCTGCGCATGCGCTCTGGGTTCTACCTATTCAACACCTCCCCCTGGCTGGCTAATAGTCATCTTTTATGGGTTGAGATGTGTTTTCCAAAAAGAGATGCTGAAGTCCTAATCCCTGCACCTGTGAATGTGCCTTTATTTGGAAAAAAGGTCTTCACAGAGGTAATCAAGTGAAGGTGAGGACCACGGGGGTGAGCTCTAATCCAGTATCACAGGCGTCCTTCTGGGCAGAGGAAAATGCACGGAAAGCAGACACACAGGGGGGTGCCAAGTGACAGCAGAGATAGGGATGGGAGTGACACAAGAACACCAAGGACTGAGGACCATGGCCAGGGGCTGGAAGAGGAACGGATGGCTCCACCTGGAGTTTCAGAGGATGCATGGCCCCACCAACACCTTGATTTCAGATTTCTTGCCTCTAGAACTGTGAAATAATACAATCCTGGGTCTTTTTTTTTTTTTTTTTTTTTTTTTTTTTGAGACAGTCTCCTTGTCGCCCTAGTGAGTGGCCAGATCTCACTCACTGCAACTCTGCCTCCCGGGTTTTCGCCATTCTCCTCCCCTCCGTAGCCGGACTCACGCCCGCCACCTCGCCGGCTAGTTTTTTATTTTTAGTAAACGGGTTCACCGTGTAGCAATTCTCGACTCCTGCTCGTGTTCTCTCCTTATTACAGGTTGAGCACCGCGGCTTTTTTTTTTTTCAGACAGTGTCTCACTCTGTCGCCCAGGCTGGAGTACAGTGGCACAACCATGACTCACTACAGCCTCAAACTCCTGGGTTCAAGGGATCCTCTCACCTCAGCCTCCAAAGTAGCTGGGACCACAGGCATGTACCACCATGCCTGGCTAATTTATTTTTATTTTTTGTAGAAGGGGTCTCACTATGTTGCCCAGGCTAGTCTTGAACTCCTGGGCTCAAGTGATCCTCTCGTCGTGGCCTCCCAAAGCGCTGGGATTACAGGCATGAGCCACTGCACCTGGCCCATTTGTGTTGTTTTAAGCTCTCAGTTTGTGTACTTAGTTACAGCAGGTCCAGGAAACATCTTGAGATGGGACATCATCTCAGGCCTGGCATAGACCGAACTGAGCTCCGGCTGCCCCTACCCCTGCTCTTCTGATGGACTTGGCCATCCTGGTCGACGGCAGCTCCATCAGGTCTGGCCAGGCCACGCCAGAGGTGATCCCTAGGACTTCCTTCCCCTCACGCCCCACATCCAGCCACCAGGAGTTCCTGAGGACTCTGCCTTCAGGTTCTGGCCCACACCTGCCCACCCCTCACCTCCTCCAAGGAGACTGGGGGTCCATACCACTGTCATCCCCTCCTTGTCCTCGTTGGTGTCCCTGCTTCCTTCCTAGGCCTACTTCCAACCAGCAGCCACCACAGTCCTATTACAGTTACGTCAGAGGGAGCCAGCCCTCCACCTCCCTCGGCTCTCATGTCACCCAGAGCAACAGGCAAAGTCCTCACATGGTCTGCCGAGTCACTCGCCACACCCTGACCTCATTCCTCCAAGACACGCTGACCACCAGGCCACTCCATGAATGCCCCAGACGTGCCCCAAAGGGAGGGCCTTCCCCCTGGCCACCCTGCTGGGGTGGGGGCTGCTCCCCAGGATAGCCAGGTTCACGTGGCACAGCCCATTGCTCCCTTCCAGGCTTCCTTCAACACCACCTTCTCCGTGAAGTTGACCCTGGCCGGCCCTTTGGGAGAACTGCTGTTCCTAGTCTCCTGCCGATCTGTGCATTCCCATTCCCTTTCCCCGGCATAACACCACGCCTCTCACATAACAGTGATGGCAGACACTGAACATGGCCTGCAGTGGGCTGGGTAATGCTGTCAGCACTTCCTATATCCATTAGTTTCTTTCAACCTCATAACAGCACTCCAAGGGCAGCACGGTCATCACTCCATGTCACAGATGGAAACACTGAGGTGCAGAGAGGCTGACCTCCCCAACTCTACAAGGGCAAGTGGCAGAGCTGAGGCTGGAACCCAGAGTCAGACTCCGAGCGCATGCTTGTAACCAACTCAGCCACCACCTGGGCCCCACGAGCGATCATACCATTCACAGGGTCCTGGCAGCTCCTGCTGCCTCCCTCTGGCAGGGATTTTTGCTGTTTGCTGCTCTGTCTGCCATGCATGCCTCCAACAGGGCCAGGCACACAGAAGACACTCACACATTTGTGGAATCAACAACGAAATTATTCTCAAAGGTGAAATCAAAGACACTCATTTTGCCCTTGGTACAAAGATAACAGATTCCAAAAAAATAAACAAGCAAGGATAATGCAGTCTGTGCACACACCAGCCGTGTATAGGTTCCGCACACACAGTTTTCGAGCTGTTGGCAAAAACAAAGTCAGGCTCCTACTTCCCTAATCTACTAAGTACCATGCCCCTTCCCCTGCAGGAGGCCGTGGAAATAGTGGAGAGAAATGAACGACGATCCTGGGCATCTGCCAGGGGCAGTGCTATAACTTGTGGTGACGTCCCTGTTTTCTCAAATGAAAATCTACTTTGTGACT